ATGTTTTTTAAAGAAGTCTCTTATGCTCATCAAGGCTGCATTTATTTTATCAAAAATACAGGAAAAAAACCAGTAATCTTGCAAAATGTTATTACAATACAAAATATGAATTACTTTTCCTTTGAAAAAGTAAAGTAAGGGATTACGCTTATTTTTTCTGTAATTTAATTACAGTTACTTCTTGTGTAATTTAATTTAATACTGTGTATAGACTATATATACACAATATATTTATTTATTTATTTATTCATTTAGCAGACAATATATATTAATATATACAACAGTGGATTTAACAAAAATGTTAAGTCTAACCTTAAAATGCATGCTTTTTATGTACCCTTCTCACTTTAAATACTTTGGTGAGTTAATAAGAATATTGGTAACACTTTAGTGTCCAATTCTCACTATTAATTAGTTGGTTATTAGCATGAATATTACTAGGATATTGGCTATTTATTATTACTTAAAAAAAACATATTAATGTGTTGAATAACATAATATAGAATAATAAGTATTCTAAATCCTTAATCCTACCCAATTCTTAAACTTAACAACTACTACAGTTTGTACAGTAATCTAATTACACTGTTGCTGCTTAATTAAGATGTAATAAGTAACTAGCAATTAATTACTTTTTTAGAGTAACTTACCCAACACATATACACATATACATATATATATATATATATATATACACACACACAGATACACATACATACAGTTAGTAGCCCAGTAGAAAATTGAAGATGACCCACTCCTGGTGTAATTTCTTGCAGACAAGTCTTAGTTGTGTCACCAACTGGAATGAGCTTTCCTGCCTTTCAGTGGAAATTATTATACATTAAAATTCCGTAATATTTGTTGCATAATTATAGTCAAGAAATCTATGTACAAGATCAAAACTTCCTCTGAAAACGAATTAGTCATACCGCGCGAATGTTTGGAAACGTGTCTCTGCGTCTCAAGGTGGATGAATTCCGCGATGAATGAGACTCATGCCTACACACTCACATATTTAATGCAGATTTATTTACACCCAATTAACCATCCAAACAAAAAACAACTTTACAACAGCAGCACTAATTACAAAGCCTCACAAACATGTAGCAGTGTTTGTTTACCTTCCGTTACCTGACAACGCGCTGAGGAAATGCGGCGTCAGCTTGATAATGACGCAAGTCTCTGTCCACCTGTCAGAAAGTCGATTTCCAAATTAAGCGTGTTTGTTTTATATTCTGAAATTATTCTATGTCTATTATCTACCTGCAACAAAGACCTAAGTTGCCAACGCGCCTTTAATGGGAAAAAAAGACTCGTTAAAAAATTATAAGTCTTGTTTTCAAGAAAAAACGTTTTTTTAACACGTTGTTTTAAAAAGGCTCATTAACTAGGCCTACTAACAATGAATAAAATACATGACTGTAATATGACTTTAGTGAATTTCAAAGGTTAAATTAAATGTACAATCTAATAATAATAATAACAATCTCTGTATACAAAATTATAATCCTGTGTGTTATGAAAATAAAATATTTGTGATAAGCGTTGTTCTGATTGGCCGATATGTCTCCGAGGCTGACGTCAGGTCCAGTCATCCGATCCGTCATCATCAGTTTTGATGCAAAAGGGGAAGTTGGGAGGAACCGAGGGAAAGGTACGAGTCTCTGGGCTTTAAACATTTGTACGGTTATGTTAATTTGAATGTTTTTTTGCTTTGTTTTTTTAAATAAGCCATACTGTTATTGCCGATGTCTTGCTTTTTAACGGTTTATTTATGAGGTGTCACGCTCAGTGCTGTGTGCGCGAGCATAGCGCTCGGCCTGTTTTTCTCTTAGCATTAGCACCATTAGCACCATTAGCTTTTGGGAACCATTTGAACCGGAGCATCTGAGAAACTGACAGACCCGTTAAAGTACCGCTGAAAACACCGTGGGAACACGATTGTCATTGAGTTGACTGTGTGTTTACGTGTGTGTATTCGAGAGAAAGACAAGGAGACATACAATATCATTAGCACAGTTAGCATCACAAGCTAACAGGCAGCTCCAGCTTCATATCGTGCCATTAAATACATGTACTGTTAAATAATTAAGTGATTTTATTTTGTTATCCCCCTGAAATTGAAGTTGCTACTAAATTGTCCAGTGAACACTATATTAACCGATCAAAGCCTGCTGCGGTTTGTTTTGAAGAGCCAGATTATGCTAAACGTCAAATAAGTCACGTTTTATCAATAATGTTTATTTAATTTGAGCATATCCTATCAATTCTGATGTGAAATGTAAATAAATTGCTATTTACAATCGCCTTATAAGTTACTTTTAAGGCGAAAAGTGTTTAGGAGCTATCACGAGCACTGATTGATCATTAGTGTCAGTAATAGACTAGGGATATGCCGGTATCAAATTTTCATGTTGCGATTAATTGCAATTGTTATATCGTGCATATTCATTACCGTGATATATCGCATTACCGAATACCGGCACAAGTCAATAATAGACCTGTTTTGCACTGTCACTCTGTCTCATACTTTCTATATCACAAGATATAACAGGGTTGTATGTAAAGTATGTATAGTCTAGAACAGTGAATCTCAACCTTTTGGCATACCGGACCCCAGTCCAATTCAGAACCATCCTCAAGGACCCCCAGAACAAAATTGACTCATCTATGTATCATTTGTGTGTCTTTGTGAGGACCAAATGCAGTCAAGTATAATTCAAGTTAGCTGACTTGTCCAGTATTTGGCCATATCATCAGCTATATTGGAATTTTTTGTCAAAATATACAAAATTTATACAAAAATTCATACTTTATATGGACCCCCTGGCCTTACGTCAAGGACCACTAGGGGTCCACGGACCCCTGGTTGAGAAACACTGGTCTAGAATTTAATGTAGGCATTGGGAGTTGGTGAACCAGAGAGGCAAAGGGGCTTGGGCCGTGTTTGAATAGCATATCACCACACTATTCTTTCGGTTTCTGCTGTATACATGGTATGTGTACATTATGGAAGTTTTCTTCCGAATGACCGACTATATTTTAGTACTTTACAATACTACAGAAACACCTGAAAAGTATACACCAAAAAGTGAAAAACTTGCATGTCCACGTTACTTCAGTGTGTAGGCTCAGAAAGTCAAATTAAGGAATTAGAAAGTAAAAGAAAACACTGGGATATCGATGATGTAAATGTTCTTGTTCTTGCTCTGAACACTTACTGCACATTTTTGCCTACTAATAAATATTCTTAACTTTTTTCTGTAGTTATTGTTAATGGGCTTTTTCTTATTGTTTCCTTAAGTTACATTACTACTAAAATCAGTTGGCAGTAAACAATATATACGATGGAAGCCCATTTCTACCACATAGGAAGAAAACATGTATTGCTAAATCATAAATAATAGATAAGTCAAATTTATAACATTAATTTCGAAATGAGATACAATGACATGAAAAGTTGAATTTTTGTCGTAAATGACTCGTTTTGTCGTAAACGTATTTCGACTTCATCAATTATGACTCTCAATTATGACGGTCATAGTTTTGACATTTTGTGTCATTTTTTAATTTCATAATTATGATATGGTCATAACTTCATTTTTAAAATTTCATAATTGACTGTCAATTTCATTTTTTGTTTCATGTCAATTTCATGTTTTGTCTTAATTCTGTCTTTCTATCTCATAATTATGATTCATTATCTAATTATGATGTTTTTCTCATGTAGCAGAAATGGCCTTCCATAATATACAGTAATCAGTATATAACAAGCTAGTATTCCATTCCCATCATGGCTTTCGTTTTTGTTTGTGGTGTTTAAGGACAAAAGACTGATGTCACTGGGTTTTTGGGTCAAAGCACAAAGGATATTTAAGGCTTAACACAGTGGCAGTTCCTAAACAATGTCTGTTGTCTATGATTTAGTCATGTGACCACATTGGTATGGATGTAATTGATGGCATGACAAACTACACAATAGATGTTCTTACTATATCAGTGTTACAGTCTCATGTATTACTATATATGAACTGAAGATCTGGATCTCAACTTGTAGGATTATGCTTATTACAGAATATAGAAAATGGCATATTGTTACTAATTGGCCAACAACGTATATTGTGCAACTCTTGTTATCCTCAGTTTCTGTTTGGCTAACCAAGACACCCCGATATATTACATTACGTTATAGTGTTAACTTACGAGCGGTACTAGATTATTAATGTTTGTTCCCGCAGATCTGGGAGTGACCGTTTGAGAAGCACCTCTTGACTTCAGTACAGGAGATTGGGGCTTAGGGTCATGGCAGGAAGAGGTGGAGCAACGAGACCTAACGGGCCAAACGCCGGCAACAAAATCTGTCAGTTTAAACTAGTGCTCCTGGGAGAGTCCGCTGTGGGGAAGTCAAGTCTAGTGTATTGGGGCTTAAGGTCATGGCAGGAAGAGGTGGAGCAGCGAGACCTAACGGGCCGAACACCGGCAACAAAATCTGTCAATTCAAACTAGTGCTCCTGGGAGAGTCCGCTGTGGGGAAGTCAAGTCTAGTCCTTCGCTTTGTAAAAGGACAGTTTCACGAGTTTCAGGAGAGCACAATAGGAGGTAAGACATACATTATATTGCCTGCTTATTATAACCCATATCTGATGTGATGCTAATGAACTTATGCATGGGCAGTTTGACCAAAATCATATATTACAGTAATGGTATATATCACTAGTATAATATAACTTTTTTTTTTTTTTTGCTGGAAAAATGAAAAGAAAAAAAAGACCCATCATTTTCCATATGAATAATTGAGTGATTTTATTATCACTCTGATTTGTACAGTAAACACAATATTAGCTAATCAAAGCCTGCTGTGATTTGTTTTGACAAAAAGTCGTGCTTTATCAAATGTTTATTTAATTTGATATATGGATAGGCAGTACGGCCAAAATCGTGTGTTATGGTAATGGTACTAGTCTTAACAGTACTAGTTATTTTTGCTGTACGGATGGGCAAAATGACCAAAATCTTATATTACAGTAATTGTATAACACAATATAACTAATTATTTTTGCTGTAATCTCACTTGTGGATGGGCAGGATGACCAAAATTGTATATTATAGTAGCAATATGATAGAACTAGTTCTTTTGCCAGAAAAATGAAGTAAGTTGTGTATATTAAAAACTCATGATGAGCCAATGGTTAACTATGATAACCAGTTAAATAAATAAAATAACCAACTAATATTGTAAAATAGATAATTAACTGTAAATTCAGATTTGAAGAGCCACATTTGTCATTGTAATAGTCGTAAGTCAATATACACAATGACAACAGTAAACAGGCACAAAGAGTTTAAGTTATCAACACCCTTTAACATCTCAATCGGCCAAAATATTTCTACCATTGGTATATGCAGTCATACTGCCCAGCCCTAATTACAAGCAATTACCAGATACTGACGGCAAGATCTGACCAGTCTCTGTCCTCTCTCCACTAGCTGCCTTCTTGACTCAGACAGTATGCTTGGATGACACAACAGTCAAGTTTGAGATCTGGGACACAGCTGGCCAGGAGCGTTACCACAGTCTGGCCCCAATGTATTACAGAGGAGCGCAGGCGGCAATAGTGGTGTATGACATTACAAATGAAGTGAGTCCTAACCCGCTTTGTTTACTCTGCAGCTTAATTGACAAATCAGATTTTTTGAGTCAAGTTAAGTCACATTTATTTATAAAGCATTTTATACAATACAGATATAATACAGTAATAAATGGGAAAATAACATGATGCAGGTGTCTTCAAATATGAGAAAAATTCTAATTTTGCTAGTCTCATCATTCAGTTTTAGTCAGTTCTGTGTTGGTTCAGATTCAGCACAATAACTCTGTAAAGATCTACAGAAACAGCTCTACAGAAGACAACAGTGTTGTTGTTTAGTTTGTGTCGATTCATTTCAGTTCAATTAAATTGAGATTGAACTTCCTCCCAAGTCCAAAAAGAGCATTTATTGAAACTAAGCTGCAAAATGACTCGGTCTAAAATCCTTTCAGCAAACCTGCAACCTGAGTGTGAATGTGGCAAAGTGGCGTTACTCGTTTCACATGCGAAAGAGGTTTTTATATGAATACAAAAAACATCCTATTTAATACTGCAATTCAGCGAGAGGGTGAAAAACTGGATCTGTGAGAAAAATAACTATCAAAAATGCATGATATGTTCCCTTTAAGCACAAACGAGAAAGCTCTGAATCAAGAAAATGCTTTACAGAAATGCATGTTTGTTTGTTTTTTCTTTCAGGAATCATTTGCACGTGCGAAAAACTGGGTGAAAGAGCTTCAGAGACAAGCCAGTCCAAATATTGTAATAGCTTTGGCTGGAAACAAGGCAGACCTTGCCAACAAGAGAGCGCTGGACTGTCAGGTTTGCGATGTTTGAACAGCCACAGAGGAGCAGACACTTCCTGTTGGCTTTACAAATGAGATGTGGAACTGTTTATAAACAAGCAAACATGCATGCAGACTTTCAGTAGCTTGGAACTGTCTATTTAGAGTCTGAAACCCTGACTTCTTTTTTTTTGGGTTCATAGGATGCACAGTCATATGCAGATGACAACAGTTTGCTCTTTATGGAAACATCAGCAAAGACTTCAATGAACGTGAATGAGATTTTTATGGCCATTGGTAAGTTTATCAACCATTTTGTCTCACTACTTTTTTGGTAAATAGTTCTACACTGCCATTCAGAAGTTTAGAATTGGTATGATTTTTAGTGTTTATGAAAGAACACATTTTTATTTTTGCTATAATCGCTGATTATAATTGGTTCAATACTGTCGCGTCCAGTGTAGACACGGTGTTGCCTTCCTCTCTTCTAACCCATAATAGAACGCACGTTCCGTGGCACCTAAGCGTCGCGCATGCCTTAAGATCTCTCAGTCTGCTTACACTCCGGTTGATTTCCGTGACCATACAGAAAACGCTGCTACTCCTGCCTGCCCCAGATGACACTTCACTAGTCAGCTCTAGACGCAGCTGTCACAGAACATGCCAAAGTGAGATAACTTAA